GGTATGTTGATATAAATTACCAACAACAATTGGCAGATTAAACTAAGATTAAAAACGGAAGAAGCGCTAACATCTCGGGGAACGAAGGAGAGCAAAAAAAGAGAGCTGTAAGTCAAGGAGACGAACATATACAAAATAAAGCATCTTCTCTTAAAAAAGGGTTTCAAGAAAGTTAGGCCTAGCAAAATGACGGCCGCAAGCAATCCAACAGCCGCAGACAGTATATAAGCCATCCAGAATCCGACACGAGCAAGAGCTAAGAAAAGCATCCAAGTGAAGCAAACGAGTCCGAAATAACCAACGGCCATTCGAAAACGAGACACTGAGTGGGGAAACGAGCATAGTGAATAAAAGCTTTCGAGAACTGGTGAATCAAATCGCAGGTTTAATACACCGCCAGAACATCGCTCGAAGAGACGGAAATTTCCTGGAGTGAAGTTTCCGTTTGTGGCAGGAGCCTCCGTAGACCATGACAGTTTTTTGTTCTCTGTCTCACTACACATTGCGGAGTTAGTTAGTCTTTTTTATTATGGCGACTTTTGTCTCATTAGTGAAATAGTGAAAACGTCCCTTAACACCCTTTGCCAAAAGGGGATGTACACATTTTTCAAGGACAGGAGCTATTGGCGACTCACGATTATTAAGTGTCAGAGTATATGTGCCAAAATCTTCGTAGATATCCGCAAACTACGGAAGAATGCAGGGCCATTCCTTGTGGTTTACAAAGTACTGCGAACGGCCACGTATGAGGATTCGTCGTACATACATCGAACTCGGGAATTCAGGAGTAGATATGCAAGCAAAGTGCGAATACAGGTTTTCAGTTCTGTTTACATTTCAACTTTTCTCTTAAAATGGTTTCGTACATTTGGATTTTAATGCATCATTATTTGAATTCGCTTAAACACACGCAATAGCTTGTTTTGAACGGCGACTACGTATGTTCCGATTTCGTTGACATAAAAGTCAATGGTCCATAAGCACATAGTTGACCGTCTTTCAACCATATAAGCGGGCGTATTCTATCGCAAGATTAACAGTGTTTTGTTGGCTTAATTTCCATTTTCGGAGTGCCAACCTACCTAAATATGGCGATTTTTTTAAAATCGTAGCAGGGCACGGTCATTTATGCATGATTGTTTAATTGATGAGAAAAAATCCCACTATTTGATTAAACAGCGATTCCAGACCAAAAATCAGACACCTCCTTTGCATTCAGCTCAGTCATGTATGCAGAACTACTGGATATGTCAAATCACTAGACAGGAATTCTAAAGTAAATTCCTGTCTTTTGTTCCCTTTTCTGTTTGTAGGTTACGTTGTATACCGCCTGCAGGAGACAGCTGCTACAATGGAGGCTCAAACGCCTGTCACAAACTTTTAATGTCGTCGCGTCGGTCTGCCAATAGAATATAATACAATAGGTTTATTATTATAACACCCCTTGGGCACTGTCAGTGTGCTTTGAACTCAGGAAAAGAACCTAAACCAAACACGTGCATTTTGACTGCACGTTGACTTAATTTCTTTTGGGTGACTGTTTAACAAGTATAGCGTTAATAGAGAGTTTTCTTAGTAGAAAAAAAAACTAGTTTCAAGGCAAAATAATCACAAACGTTTAAAAAAAGAACCATATGTACAATATGTGCAGTTTGGTAGTTTTTAGACGCATTAATAATGTCACGAATGGAAGAGAATCTCCGCATCACAGGTTCATATTTAAAAGAAAACGAAGCCACGATCACTGGGATAGTAGATTTGTTTGCTTGGGTTTTCGATCTCGAACCGGAGTTCATCATCAGAGACTGCTTGAGTGCAGCAACTTGTGAAGATTTATATCGCTATTCCTTGGGGAGGGGGGTGGGGAGAGTACGTCCGTGGGTAGGTAAGGTTTGTGCCACCTGGTCCACGATGGTCCCCCGG